GAGCTGGGGCTGGGCTGGTCCCTCTGTGTTGTGCACACACTGCACGGGTTATTTATTCAGCCTCAGAGCCCATCTCCCTTATTTGCTTATTCCACGAGCAATTTTTGCTCATTTCTGATAGATTTTTCCCCACTTTCTCAAGTACCTGGCAATTTCCAGGCCAGTATTTGCTCAGCTGACAGCGATGGAATCGATGGCTGAAAATAAGGGGAAATATCAGCATTTCTGTGCTGAGAAAGTGTTTGGGAACAATCAGATGAACAATGGTGTCGGCAATAAAACTTGGAGTGAAATTGGGCTGGCACAGGCTGACCCTGGCTGTAATCTTTGTTCTTGCTGTTGGGCTGAATGTCAATAGGTTAGTCCTGGTGACATCCCTCAGCCCGGAGAATTGAGGGCACCAGGCAGCTCCTTCCCTGGCCACAAACAAACTAACAACTTCAAATGCCTCTTAACCTTCATCTCCATGAGCTTCAAAGGATCAGCATGAGATGCACCTTCATCCCTCATAGCAGCAGAAATCCAAGGACAATGTGATCAGTGGGCTCAGGGGCTGTGCCTCCTCTTCTGCAAATGTCTCCTTTTATTCCCCTTCCCTCAAAAAGGGAGGAGAGGGTAAGGCAGGGAGTGTTTTGGTGTAGACCCTTATTTCTTGCAAGTATTTAAACCTATGATAAAATGAATCCAAATTAGTGGTGTGAAAAGTGTGCAGGGAAACCAAGATCTCACCCGGAGCATTTTTTTGCATTTATTTTCTATTTATTGCTTCTAATCAATAAGGCAGTGTTTTGGTACCCAGTAAAATTTTCCTCTTTTTATGTTTTTCTTCATTTTCCTTTGGTGTTTTCTCTTTTTACTGCGAAAGCTATGCACCAATCCCCAATGCTAAAGCAGAGGTAGGTCTGAATAATTTAGCATTTCTGAGTCAGAGGGTGAGATGACCACCTGACACGTGTGTGCTTGATTTCTTTTCATTAACGCTGCATCATTAACTCTGGTCCCCTATTAAAAAGAGAAGCTGTAATTTGCCAGGGATGGGGAGGAGGCAGAGGAACAGCCCTGGTGTTAACATGGAGCAGTGGAGGGGACTGACACCAAGGGCTGCCTGGGATGGGGGTGAGGCTGGAAGGAAGTGCAGTTACACCCAGAGTAAGTTCCAGCAGTTGCTTAATATTCCATGGAGGTGCTTCGTGTTGCTTGGGCTGGTGCCTGGGGAAATACCATCCACTCCCCCGAAAAAAAAGGGAAGGAAACGTCTCCAGGAGCGTGTTACACTCTAAGCAAAGCAAACTCTGAGTAAAGGAAAGGTTAATCAAAGTTGTGTCTTGCTAAAAGGAGCTTGAAAGCTTAATTGTGCTCCTTGCACACGTGGCCAGAGGCTGCAGAAATCCAAGGATATCAGTAATATTGCAAGGATTGCAGTCACGTGTTCATTGCTCAGTTCTGGTTGGCTTTACCCAGTGGATTCGTTTCCAGCTGTTTAGTGATACTTGGAGTCACAGGATCATGGAATGGTTTGGGTGGGAGGGACCTTGAAGCTCCAGTCCTGCCCCCTGCCACGGACAGGGACACCTTCCACCAGCCCAGGTTGCTCCAAGCCCTGTCCAACCTGGCCTTGGACACTCCCAGGGATCCAGGGGCAGCCACAGCTTCTCTGGGCAACCTGTGCCAGGGCCTCCCCACCCTCATTACAAAAGGCTCCTTCCTTGAATCTGTTTTTGATCAACTGAGCTTTGGATCAACTGTTTGTCACCTCAGTAGTGGAACAAAGGACAAAAAAGATAGGAAGCACCTCCTGGAATGTGGGAGCTTCGGCATTTATTGCCCTGAGGTGTTTGAGATCCGAGTTGTTCCAGGCTGCTTCCAGAGGCATCACCTCACCCCGGGTTAGGTTCAGCTCTGCCCTCAGCTTTTATTTCTCAAGTTGGCAAGTATTGCTGAAATCACTGAAAAGAAGCATTAGGAATATCCCTGGAAGGCAGGAGAAGTGGCCATTTATTAAACACCAGCATTTCCCAGGCAGAGGGAAGCTGTACCCTGGTACAGTGTCTTAATTACATTTATTATTTCAAGCAGTGAGGACTGGCACCTCCACCATCACAGCTGATCCAACAGTCTACACAGGCTTGTCTTTCCTTTTCCAGGCACAGGGCAGGAAGACACTCCCATTCCAGGCCCTGTTTGATACCCTGCCACAACCTGGCTGAAGCTGTGGCAGGGTGAATTAAAGCCTGGATAAACAAAGAATTTTTGTGTCCTGGCCTGTGCCTGCAGGGGAGCAATTCTGAAAGCAAAGCAGGAACCTGACAGCCAAAGGGCATTCCAAAGTTTTAAATGCACAGTTTGATTGTTCTTTTATAAACGATGCAGATTAATTTACAAATAAAAGAGGGGTTTGTGAGGATGGACTGTTAAAAAAAATGAGCAAATGGCAAAATGGTTCATTATACCTTGAGAAATTGGTTTCTAAAGCTGCCTGGATAAAGTGTCTTCATCCACTTGACTGCAGCCAGGGAAGTGTGAGCAGCAGAGCTTGGGCAGAGCTCAAGCTTTTAATCCCAGGCAGAGTGAGATGATGCACAAATGGCCACAGCTTTGTTTTCCTGAGGTTTTCCCTGGACTGGTGACAGTGGCTGGAGCAGCGTGGGTGGGTCTGGGGGGACCCCACGCCAGTGGCTCCAGTGCCACAATCCCAAAGCTTTGCTCCCCCTCCTTTGCTCCCAGCCCACCTCCAGCCCCCAGCCCCTGCAGGGCCTCGCTCCCAGCCCAGACCCCCTGAGCAATAAACACCCCTCACCTCCGGAAATTAATAAACTTTGTGGGAACCTCAAATGTCACTTATTTGCCTCCCTGTTTTCATAGGTGATTTCACTAAGCAGCAGCACTTGCTAATCCCACATTCACACAGATAGAAGGTCAAAGTTGGTCAGTGAGCCAAGAAATACCATATCAGGGTTTCTTTCCTCTCCAATTGAAAGAGGTATAAATTGTGGAATTAGTGTATTGATTGAAGGCTACAACTTCAAGCAATCAGTTTTTCTGGCTTGACAAGATTATTTTATCCTACTTTTCTTTTATTATTATGTGTTGTATTTGAGTCATCCTTCAGGCAGATGAAGTGACAGCTTGATTTAACTCAATAAAATCCACCAGTTAGGAAACCTACTGAGCCGAACAAAAGCTGCTGAGGACGGTGAGGGGAAGGTGCCTGGTTAGTGGGAGGAAGCAGAGCGTGCTGGAGGGAGACAGTATTAACGGGAATTATGCCCTGATCAATGCATTTCTATGGAAACTTGGGAGAAATTTGTGAGACCCCCGTGCTGGGCCAGCGAATGGGTAATTCCGGCTCTCTTACGGACAAGTAAAAATTGAATTTCTGCAACTGAGTCCTGAAAATGACAATTTCAGCCAAGCTGTGCTCGGGTGTAACTGCAAAAAGTTGGATAATGTTGCTTTTCTGACAGGTTTGAAAGGAAATTCTTAACCAAGGGGTTGTGATTGTGTGGTAATTAAAACAGTATCGAGTGTTTGTACATTAGGTCTTTGCTTTGTTACACAGTAAGTACTAAAATATGTATTTTTCTCCACACACAGGGTTTTTTTTTTCTCTTGGTCCTGAGTCGATCTGTGGAGTAAATGGCACAGAACAGGACAGAGGGAATGTGCTGAAGGGAGTCCTGGAGTGAACTGTGCTGGCTCCTGGCCGAGGTGTGGCAGACACTTATCAGTGAGCTGTGGTACAGAATGTGAGCTGTGGCACAGCTGCTGCCTCTGGATTGCAGCCCTGCAACTGTACCCACTCACTGCCACTGCTTTCTTAGCAATGGGAATGGGAAAAAGTGCATTACTGATGGATAAAAAGTAATCTCAGTGTCATAATTACCTCCCTGGAAGGATTCAAGGCCAGGCTGGAGCAACCTGGTCCAGGGGAAGGCGTCCCTGCCCTTGGCAGGGGGTGGGACAAGATGGGCTTCAAGGGCCCTTCCAACCCAACCCATTTTGGGATTCTGGGATTCCCTTTCTGAAAGCCTCAAACACCATATTTTGATCATTCTTTTTTTTGGGTGATGAGTTCAAGATCAAAACTATCCATGTTAATTTATAACTGATCTCTTGCTAAGTTACCTCACAGAGCCATGGATTTGCTGCTAGATTTGGGCTTTTTTTCCCCACTTGGCCTATTTTGCATGTGGGTCCCTGTCCATGGCAGGAGGCTGGAACAAGAAGATTTTTCAGGTCTCTTCCAACTCTGTGATTCTGGGATTTTATGATTCTCTGTCAGTCTGCAGCACTCGTGGGTGCTGGAATTGCTGTTAAAGTTACATCTCACAATACATAAACATGTACACATATATATACATATAAACCCCACTGCTTTCAGCAGCACTCCCCTGACCAACAACAACAACTGTGCAGCATTCAGGCTGTTTGTCTGACTGTTGCAGGGCAGGTCTGGATTCACACTTTTCCATTTAAGTTCCTGCCATTAAGGTGATGGAAAAGCAGGAAAAGGACAACTCCCATTTAAGGGCTCAGGTGAAAGCCCAGACTGCTGCACCATTATTTTAAAAACCGTGGTTTGCAACTTTCAGGGGGGTTCAGACCATGCATTAACATTCATTAACTTGTGTGTAATTTCCCCCACCCCACATTTCTTTACCATTTCAAGTTGTTTTCATCCTTCTGCAGAAGACCATATATTGTCATGATCTCCTTAAACTGCAGTTTGGTAAATGACTTGTTTAAATTTAAGGAAAAGAGGTTGTTGATAAGTATAGTTTTCTAATACTCTTCCTCAGCTGTCATTTACTTTGACTAAATTTATTTAAACCACCTTAACCTTTCAGAGAAAGGCCAGGAGATGTTTAAAAGAATAATATGTGTCTGACATTTTGGTTTACCAAAAGGACACCATCATAATTCTGTAGTGCCTCTGTTAAAAATAAGCTAAGAAAAGAAAACTAAAATCTCTTTTTCTTTCTGCTTAATTTTGAAAGACTGGGAGGGGATGTGATTGATGGTTGCATTAGGAGCTGACCTGCCAGGCAATCACCCCGGGCATTGATTTGTCACTGCACCAGCACCAGCAGCTGCCACACCAGGTGGGTCTGTCTCTCTCTCATGAACACCTGGCTGGGTTTTACTCCAAACACGCTCTCCTGGTGTCCTGACCATCGAGTTCTCCCCCAGCTCCTGCCCTGGTGGCACTGCCAGCCACCTCCTCGTGCTGGGCCACAGCGCCAGGTGGGGGTGGGCTGGGCAGGTAAGGGGACTTTGGGGATACTTGATGGGCTTTTAATGTGATATCATGATAAATGCTCCTGGCTTTCTGTTCTTGTGGGCACTCTCATGGTTCTGTGTGACCCAGAGCTGGGAAAAGCAGGGTGGAGAGCCCGTGGCTGGCAGAGCAGTGTGACCAGGGGACTGTGATGGAGCTTGGGGAGCAGTTTGTTCTGCAGGAGACCTGGGGGGCGACCAGTTTGTCTCCTCTTGGGTTAGAAATGTCTTTGACTTTGGCACAGAGAACACAAATGCAGACCAGGTTCACTGGCTGGTTTTAATCTAATTCTGTCCTGCTTTCAAAGACGTTTCTATTTCAACATGTCAAGGTCTTGGGAGCTTTTTGTCAAAAAACTTTAGAAGCTGAAGAAGGAATTTTCTAGCTATCAGTAATTTCAGAGTTCTAGAGCTTCTGTCACTCCTGCTGCTGTTCTCAGACTGTGACTGGCAGCTGTGCAGCAACAGGCAGCACAGGTACACGAGTGTTACAGGTCGTAGTTCTGCTACTCTGTGAATTCAGGCACAAAGATCTGGTCAGTCTCTCGCTTGGCTTTCAGAGGAGTGGCACCAGGTGACGTTCTGAGGCCCCTTCCAACCTTCCATTCCTATGGTGGTCAAATATTTTTTGAGGGTATCATGATTACACTGACAGTATTTGAAATCGGGCACAGAAAATTTGTATTTTTTGGACTGATGACTTTGGAAAGAATTTTGGATGCATCAGGTGTGTCCACATTTTCCAGTTGTGTCCACGTAAGGCAGAGTCCTGAAGCTCCTGGAGCCCTGGGCTGGGCAGCAGCAATGGTGCAGGTCAGCTCTGCATAGATATTAATTCTGGGTGTGTGCAGTTTCAGTGAGTTGGGAATAAGATTTTCTCATTTTTTTCCTGGGAAAAGCAAAGGACTGAATTTGCACAGCTTGGTTTAATCACCTCTGTCTCAAGGTTTGCAAACAGGCCTGGGGCTCTCCAGGTTCAGCTGGGCTGAGGTTTTCATTGCCCTTGTCATTGGTGGGTGTAAGGGGAGCTGCTCCAAGGGTTGGATTTATTGGGAGAGATCACTCACCCAGAGCTGGGGCTGCCCTTGTCTGTCCACTTGTCCTGTGGCCAGAGAGCACAAACACCCTCACCTCAGCCCAGTGTTTGCAGAATTCAAGGTGTCTGTTTCTCAGTGATTAAAATCCCCTTTTCCTCAGCCCCTCCCTCCCCCACCATGATGAAAAACAAACCCAAAACTTTTTAAAGACTCACCACTGGCAGGAAAGACCAGAAAAGCAGCTTCTGACCCCTGGGGACCCTCAGCTGTGCCTCTCACAAAGCCAGGGTTGGTCTCTTCAGCTGTGGGGACCTGGCTGGGCTGCTCGGGGAGGGCAAGGCAGAGGTGTCCCTTTGGGGGTGACACTGTGACTGTGCCCCAGGGTGACACTGTGCCCCAGGGGGCTGGGGCATTTCCTGGTGCCTGGACACAGGTCCTGAGGCTGTTCCTGCATTAAATCATGGGATCCTGGAATAGTTTGGGTGGGAAGGGATCTCAAAGCCCATCCAGTGCCACCCCCTGCCATGGGCAGGGACACCTTCCACCAGCCCAGGTTGCTCCAAGCCCTGTCCAACCCGGCCTTGGACACTTCCAGGGATCCAGGGGCAGCCACAGCTTCTCTGCCCAACCTGTGCCAGGGCCTCCCCACCCTCCCAGCCAGGAATTCCTTCCCAATATCCCATGTCTCCCTGCCCTCTGGCAGTGGGAAGCCATTCCCTGTGTCCTGTCCCCCCAGGCCCTCATCCCTCCAGCTCTCCTGTAGGTCACTTTCTTCTATTAAAAAAGGGGATTAAAATAATCTCTAAAGTGTATTAAGACATAGATTCAAAATTAAAGAAATCAAAGTCTTCAAACTTGATTCCAGGACTGGGGTTACAGCTTTGCCCTCCTGACCTTCCCCAAAGTTGTGTGAATTAAGGGCAGTGTCAGCTGTGCCTCTGCATTTCCCCACATTTGTCAGTTTGTGTCACAACCTCAGTATTTTTTAAATGAACTTTTCTTTATATTTTTCCCCTTTTTTATGTATTTAATATTCACTTTCAGGTATTCAAGCCATAATTTCTGTTAGTAAAAGTGACATTTTGTGAAGTTCATTATTTTTTTAAGGAGAAAATCTCCAGCCCTTTAAAAAAATAGACATTAAATAACAGCATGGTGGTGTCTCCAGGCTGACATCACCCTACAATTTGCCATTTTAATTCCTGAATCCCTGTGAAACAGAAGTTTGGTAATACCTGGGTTATTTAGCCTGACCTGGCTGCCCCACCAGTCCGGGTACACACATCCCTAGTAATTTAAAATAATCATTCTCTGTGTTTAGGTGTGAAACACCACGAAATAGGAGGAAATTAAAAGCATTCCTGATATTATCAACACAGGGAGTATATTTAGCATACAAGTAAGTGAACTGATCTTTGTTGCTGTCACTGGAGCTGATGATATTTTGATCATATCAAACTGAATTTGAGTGGAAGTGCTGCATTAATACCAAACTGATCATCTTAAGTCGTTGTATGTTTTAAATATATTTAGGTTTAGGTTCTGTTCTCAAAATAATTTACGAACTTTAAGAATTAAATCTTCTTTGGCTGCGTCCTATCCCTGAAAAGAGCTATTTAAGAGCACATGACAGTGGATTTAGGGTTAGTGAATAATACAGTTCTAAAGGTGCAAGTTACCTGAGCAATTATGGATTTCTGACAAACACAACAGAAATATACATTATGTCTTCCCTCTTCTCCAGTTCTACATGAGATATCCAATTTTTTTTTTTGTCTAGAGGAGATAATTTAATCTGTTTTATCCATTTTTTTAATGGGCCACAGCGACTCTTGGAAACTATTGTAATTTCTCCTGATACAACTATTTTTATGCAAGAACATCATATTCATGTATTGCTTGGCATTCAAAAATGTGGGCGAAAATCAAGTAAATTCTTGCTCAAAGCCATATTTCTGGGAGTAATAGCTTCAGTTCATTCTTTCTGTGGCTCTTGGTAATTCCTAAGGAAGCTCCAAGTTAATGAATATACATTCTCCAACTTGTTCCAGTAGCAAGAGTGCCCAAGGCAGGATTTCACACACTGCTGGTACTTTCTGTTCAAGTCCCCAAGCACCAATTCTAAAAGTATCACATTAATTAATGCCCTGTAACATTGTTGTGACAATAAATATCCTACTTTTGAGGAAAAAAAAAAAACAACCCACCACAAAACCGCGTGAAGTATGAATATGAATTAATTTTAAAATCTACATACTACAAAGAAAGGTCAAATGCTACAGAGGTGAAATGCCTGATAGAGGCAGGATGTTTCATGAGAGCTGAGTGAAATGTCTGAAATTCAGATGAAACCTTGGATTGGTTTTCTTTAGCCTTCAAAACTTCTTCTTTTTAATTTTTATTTTTTTTTACAAATAATTTGTTCAAATTTTCTATTGATAAGATTCCATATGGAATCGTAAAACGATATTTTTATTTATCATAGAGTGGTATTTTAGATTCCACGTACTTTGAGGCCCCATCTCCTAGTAACAGACAGAACATCCTCAAGCACTATCCCTGCAATTATTTACAAGCCACAAAAAGAATTAAAAAAAACCCCAAACATAAAGGCAAGGCAAGGGGTTGGAGTGGCTGCTCACACGACAGATGCAATATTCCTTTTAGGAAGTGACTTTCAAAAGCTGAGGAGAGCAGGCAAACAGAGCATCACAGGGGGAGGCAGGACTGCAAACACTGGGTTTGGGGCATGCAGGAGCCTCTGTAGCTCAGGATATTTCATGAATATTCATTAAATAAGGAACTTGAAATTGTTGTTCTGTCTTAAAAAGAAGGAAGCACAAGTGCGTTTTCCATTTGGGAGGGAGCAGTTCACTGTGCCCTGGCGCTGTTTCTGGGAAATGGCAGAGGGTGTGTAAAGGACAGGGGGAATATTCAGCTAAAGTGATATTATTTGTGGTTATATAATAATTATAAACCAACACATGTGTTCAGCATCCCCTGGTTATTGGAAATCTTGTCATATGTGTTGCAGAACTGTGCAGACACACAGAAACCACAGCCAGCCTGTCCAGTGAGCTCCTGGCTTTGGTTTTGCAGGAGCAACAGCAGGTGTGGAAACTCGTGGGAATGCTGGGCATGGCCAGGGAAAAGCCCAGGTGTGGAAGCTCCTGGGAATGCTGGGCATGGCCAAGGAAAACCCTGGAAGCTCTGGCTGTGAGTGTGGCTGTTTGCTGAGTCCTGAAGAGTCTCCAAAAACATTCGTGGAGTGTCAAACTGGCTCCAAACACAGACAGGGATTCCATCAAGCTGCTTGCAAAGGCCAGTGTGATGTGGGAGAGTAACAGTGAACTGAAGCAGAAGACCAGACTGAGGGTGACTCTGCCCACTGAGGAGGTTATTTGTGAGGAGTGACCTCTAGGAAGGGATGAGCAGGGTGGTCTCAGGTGTCCTGGCTAAACTGTGGCTCAGATATTTAGGGTTTAGCTGTTGCACAAGTGTCCCAGAACATCTCTCAGTTTTCCTGTGTCTATAGCACTGGAGGAACAGCATCTCCTGTCCCTGGGCTGTGCAGGGGGGGTGGTGGTACCTCTCCAGACCTGCCTCAGCCACCCAAGGCACCTCTGGCTGTTACCATCCACACCTGCAAGCAGGATCCATCCTCCACCCCCACGGAGCTCTGTCCCCGTGCTCGGTTTTCTGTAGGGTGGCATTTTGCCATCTTTGGTGGCATTTAAGGAGCGCTCTGGGTCGGCACTGTAATAACACACACCTTTAATAACATGACTAGAAATGGTAACTGAGAATATGGGACCCTCTGAGGAAGGAAGTGAGGGGGCTCTGTCTGTCACACCGTGCCTGGCCACTGTCACCAGCTGGTTTTTGTAGGATCTGAGCAGAATATTATCGGGCTTTTGAAGGGGCAGGTCCCCCCTCAGCGGCGCCGACGCTCCGGCAGGTGCCCGGTGTCACATCCCTTGTATGACAAACATTTGATGTGACACTTCTGCACGCAGGTTGCTCCAGAGATATTTTTATAGGTCAGACTAAATATCACACATCCCAGCCTTCAGTCAGGGAGTGGAGCCGGCCGTGATTGCCGCTAATGGCCCTGGAAGTTGCTATGGTTCCTGGTAAACAGCCTCCTGCCGCTCCTGCTCCCATCCCTGCCGGGGCACAGGGCAGGGGGCACAGGGCCAGCCGGGAACTCGGGGCCAGCATCAGCTCCGGGTGCTCCGGACAATCAGCTGATCCAGCTGGCCAGCATTTCTGTTGATGCTCCCTGCTGGAATTTCACCTCGTATCCAGCTTTTCCATACGGCCCTTCCGTGATCACACAGCCCTCCTCCTCCTCCTCTACAAACCTCTCAGGGCTCTGTGTTCCCAGAGCTCCTTGTCCCAGGCCAGGTGTTTTGGGGAATGGTTGAAAAAGCAGGATACAGCAGTGAAGTCATCGAGAACATGGGCATGCTTGGAATTGCCTGCACGCTCCACAAGGATGAGACAGCTACAAAGGATGGAGCAATGCTAATCCTTACCTGAACCCCTGGAGTCTGATTGTATTTCCCAGAGATTTTGGGAGGCCCAGTGGTGCCAGGGATGTGTTGAGTGCCCGGTGGGGCCGTGGATTGAGTGAACACAGCGTGTCCTGCAGCGTCCAGCCACTTCTCTTTCCAGTCCTCATCCCAAAGCTGCCCCCTGAAACAAAGAAGTGTGAAGTAACTTAAAAGCTAAGATGAAGAGAATTTTAGTTATACAAAGTTAGGACTAACTTTTAGTATCCTATCATCTACGAAAAATAGCTAAGGACAGTGACACTGTTTAGACATGTATCTTCCCAAAACAAATATGTGACAGTTTTAAATTTTATTTTCATCACCTCAAAGGTCTATTTTGGCTGATATTTACGCTGTGTGTTGATATTCCTCTGCTGTGTTTTGGGCGACTCTCAGAGAAGGGAACACTGTAGCAGAGCAAGCAGCAGTGGAGGAATCCTCTGCTTTGTCCCCGCTCCCCTCCCACCCTTGGCAGCCTGGCTGGGGAGGCAATTCCACCCAGGAATCCCTGATTAGCTCAATTTTCAATTACGCTTTCCCGTCACCTTTAAACAGCCGCTGCTTAACCCACGCTGCAGAGAACGAGCGGCAGATCCAGAAACAGATACCCAGCCAATTATATTCTTCTATGTGTTCCAGACAATGCCAAACAGGTTTGCTGTTTGCCTCCGTGGGTTATCCCCTGCTCCGAGTGCTGGGGGTGGTTTTATCTCCAGCTGACACCACAGGGACTCCATCCCAACGTGTGGCTGAGAACAGCTCTGGCTAAACACTTTAAATGCTCCTCACATAAACACAGAAAAAGCCTCCGTGCAGCAATTATTAAGCCAGACAAATGTTGCGCTGATTTTAACAGTGCTCAAGTGGTGGAGGTTTTTTCCTTCATTAAGATAAACAATGGAACTAATTGGAAAGGCACAAAAACATCTGTTAAGTAATGGGAGTATTGGGAAGTCGAGGAGCTGGGGCAGGGGGAACACACCTCAGGTGGGTCTTAATGTACATTGGAATTTAGGAAACAAATTTACCGAATTTTAGAAGCATGGAACTTGCAAGAAGATGAGAATTTACAGTGATCTGCTCTCCAGATTCCCTTGGACAGGATGGGAATGGCACATTTATATTGCAGGGAGAGTCAGCTGCAGGAGATACTGGAGTCTCCAGCCAGTAAGGTGGAATGGGTTCAGCACGGGGGATGTACAGGATCCATCACTGGAGGTGATGCTGACACCTCCTCAGCGTGGTTTGTGCTGTTAATATTGAGTGTATCAAGTTGCTATTATTGAAAATTTTAAGCTTAGGTGATTGATAGATTTTTCTGTAATTTCTCTTATTTCCTAATAATCCTTCATTTTGTATTTTAATGGCCTCCATGGATGTACTGTAATGTATTTATTGGTGCACATAATTGGTGCTGAATTTACATTTTGAGTTTAATTCCTGTTCTGACAAGCTCTGCCTCTTCATCAGGTACTACCAATGTAAAGTGAAGAGTCTTCTTCCCCTCAGCCTTTTCCAGGGATGAGAGGAAGGGACTGGGACCTGTCCTCCTGATGCTCTCCCTCCTTGGGAGCCCTTCACTGGCATCAGGCTTCCCAAAGGAGCCGTGCCCAGACTGCCTGTCAGCTGGGACTGATGTCACATTTCCCCAAATTGTTTGAGCAGGGCTCAGCAGAGGAGGCGGCTGTCTCCAGACTTGCTGTCTATGCCTTTTATTCACTTCTGACATAATTTATTGGAAATGAGAGGAATTGTTTCAGAACAAGCGTCTCTGACAGCTTGGCAGATTGATAGAGAGGTTTTCTGATTTCATCTCTTTTTTTTTTCCTTCTGGTTTTAAATGATGCCTCCCTACCCCTTGCCAGTCTCTCAAGGAGCGTTGGTGTCACGGGATCAGGAGCCGAGACAGCAAGTTCTGCCTTAGCAGAGCAGGGAGGAGGTTATTCCATCTACTCTGGGCTGTCTCTTGCCTCATTATCCTCTCATAAAATTCCAAATATTTTTAGTGACGTGCAGAACACACACAATATGAATTTATTTAGCCTGGGAAGGACCCCAGCAGGTCACCTAACATGCCACGGGTGCTGAGCTGAGACCTGGGCATGCTGTGACGTTTGGGATCCAGTCCTGCAACAGGGAATGAGTCAAAATTCTCACTGTCTTACCTGAGCAAACCCTGTGTTCCTGCTCCCCAGCTTCCAGCGTGTCCTCTGACAGCTCCCTGTTGTAGGAAATCCCACACTTTGCCAGAGTGGAATTGCCAAAATGAAACTAATGATTTTTCTGGGTTACTTCGTGGTGGCATCACTGAAACAGTGCTTGGGACTATTGGCTCAATTCCCCAAAAAGAGCAGGAGTTACTGACCCCCATCACCTGCCACTTTAACCACATCCCAGGAGTACGTGTGCTGATAGACACCTTAAAGAATTTTACCCAATTAGTCATTTTTAAAAGATTTTTTTTTCCTTCTTTCAGAGGGGGAAAAAAAATTTTCACAGAGAACTGCCTGTAAACAGCAAGATTTCTGTTTAGAAAACAAGCAGCTTGCCAGAATCTTCCTCCCATCCCTGCCTTCTTCTCTCCAGCTCCGATCCTATGAAACGTGAGCTCCACTTCTGGTGACAGTTCCCTGCTGTCCACCGAGTACAGATATTGGTCACACAGGTGGAATTTAGTGGATTTATCCCTTGCTGTCCTTACAACTCACCTGGTGAGGGGACTGATGGAAAAATGAATCACAGTCACGAGCCATTTGCACCCAGAAAAAGAGGCATTAAACTGGGTTATTTACATTGTTCTTGCAGCCCCACAGGGGTCATTTTTATAGGAGATCTTGATTTCTTTTTTTGCAAAACATCTGAATTCCATCCCATGGAAATGTGGGTGTCCATAGTGGCACAGGAGCACCCAGGGGTGGGGTGGGGTGGGGACAGTGAGCTGGGGTGAGGCAGGAGATCCAAAAACCTTCCGTGCACTGAAAGCCTGGATGGACAAGGGGGAATGGCTTCCCAGTGCCAGAGGACAGGGTTAGATGGGATACTGGGGAGAAATTCCTGCTGTGAGGGTGGGGAGGCCCTGGCCCAGGTTGCCCAGAGAAGCTGTGCCTGCCTTGGAAGTGTCCAAGGCCAGGCTGGATGGGGCTTGGAGCAGCCTGGGCTGGTGGAAGGTGTCCCTGCCCATGGGACCTTTAAGGTCCCTTCCAACCCAAACCATCCTGGGATTCTCAGATTCTATGCCAAGTCACTGCAGCATTGTCTTTACAGGAGAGGAGCAAACCAAAAGAAGACACTGTGGTGAGGACTGTCATTACCTTCAGGAATATTTTCCAGCAGGGGTGTGGCTGGAATGAATTTAAACGTGCTCATGTTCAGCCTGTGCAGTTGTGATGATTTTGCTCCATCTGAGCTTATAGAACTTCTTGTTAATATTTGAACTGGCAGTGCCCAAGTGAAAACCAGTAAAAACTGAAAATGTAGGACCTGCCTTACTGCCCTGGCAGTGGTGTGTCCAGAGGCAGGGCAGGCCCTGGCTGGGAACATCTCTGGCAGTTCAGTGTATTTCTGTCTCTTGGGCTGTCTGAGGTTTGAATTTTGCTTCCCCCCACCCCACATCCAACCCCCTTTCCTTCCCCCTTGAAGTCACTGTCAGGGCTGTGCCTGGTAGGATTGTGAAGTGTTTATTATTCTGCTGCCCAGGTTTCTCCAGATGTTTAGCTACAGGGCAGTGCTGCTGCAGAGATCAGTGCAGCTGGCTGGGAGACGCCGGGAGAAGGAAGTGCAGCATCTGGGCCTTGTCTGGGGAGCCTGGATTTCAATTAATTAAATGTGCACCCAACTTGCAAGGAGCTTTTGCATTTCAGTTAAACTGACTTCAGAGCACACCTAAGATTTATTCCTGCCTTTCAAATTAACTGCCAGATCCTCAGCTGGTAGAAATTGCTGAGCCTCTCTCGGTGTCAGGAGAGCTCAGTTTACACCAAAAGGGATGTGGATGATGGCAGAGAAATAGGCTTTGTATGAGCCCAAGAATTACTTGGCCCCCTTAGGACTTCAGTGGAAGTAAAGCATTTATTTACTTGAAAAGCAAAAAAAAAAAAAGTTATTTGTTATTTATATTTTGTATTGGGTTTTTTCCCCCTTAAGGTTGTCATAAGATATGTCTTTGTGAATTTACAAGGTTAACATCTTTTTAGCATTTTAATTTAAAATCGTTATTTAGAATTTTAGGATTCGTTTTTAATATGTTTATGTTTAGTTAAGAGGTTTGTTTTAGTCGAGATGCTTATTTCAGTTAAAGTGGTTTATTTTAGGTAAACTGTTTATCTTTAGTTAAGTTGTTTATTTTTAGTTACGATGTTTAGTTTTGTAGCGTGAAAGAGGAAGTCAGTGATTCTCCCCTGGTAAAATGATGTTGGCACAATTATTTATCACAATCACGGCTGCCCCTGCACCCCTTATGGCCATACCTGTGAGGTTTAGATGAATTCCTGCCTCCACACTCTATCGAAAACACTTCTATCATTATTCAAATATTTGGAAAATGGGTTCTGATGGAAAGGCATTGAGACGCTGGATGCTATCAAAACCTTTCCCAGAATAACTGCAATAAATTAAAGAGCCTGATATATAAACATTAGGTATGAAAGATGATAATTTGGGGATACAGAACTTGACTGATGCTTTTCTCATCCACATGAAGTGATTTGAACACACATCCCCTGGTGAGAGCAGGAGGCCTCAGAACACACGTGGCCCCTTTTCCCCTGGAAGTGACTCCCCCTGAACATCAGTCCTGGAGGAAGCAGTGCAATATTTTAAAGTCTCTCCCCTGCCCATCTCTGGGATAATTCTCTCCTCCACGTGAGTGTTGGGCACTCATTCTTGAGGGATTCACCTCTGCTCCCTTGGAATCCCAAAGGCACCAGGAAAACCCACAGTTCCTTTAAGTGCTGGGAGAAACTTGCTCATGGCTTCCTAAAATCGTGCCCCTTTTCTCAACATCTCTGCACACTTGCCATCTTCCTTTTGGTCTTTTCTCTGGCACCACCAGCCCCTGGGTCGATCTGTTCCAGGAATACGAGTGTATCCTTCCTCCCCCTGCCCTGCTGGAGCAGCAGCAGGAATTGGAAAACCCTTTTTCCCCTCCGAAGGCAAAGCAGCCCTTTTCAGCTTCTCTTAAATAGGTATCAACACCTGGCTTTTACAAACAAGAGGAATTAGACTTCGTAGCATTTTGCTATTTGAATGACCTACTCAGTGGAATTACAGCAGCAAACTAATCCTTTAGGAGAGATGGCTCTATCAATCTTTGGATTTTTCTAATGTGGAAGCTACTCAATTGCATCTCAGAAATCAGGGAGGTAATTACTCATGCAGACAGCACAAAATGAAAAAAAAAAAAAAGGCAAGTTCTGCTGAGTATCCCTTTTAGAACAAGCAGTGGAACAAGGAAAACAGCCTCTATAATCAGTCAAATTCTTCCACTAATTTTTCAGGTGTTGAAGGCTATAGTGAGGGTACATGCCATGAAAGTTAACAAAGCAAAGTGGCTTTAATGGAGGGTTTTACAAGAGAAAAATGCCTCTTATTAGGCAAACCTACTATTTTAGATGTAGTTCCCTACGTTACAACTTCATTGTTTAAAATAGACATGTTCTGAGATAAATGCTTTTCCAGACCCCTTCGGAGGCCGCGGTGACAACATCCAAGTGTCCAGTCATCAGAGCACAGGGGAGGTGCTGGCTCTGCCTGAGGAGCATCACCACCCTGCAGATGAAATCAGGCAGGTGCAGCCTCAGAGGAGCCCTCACACCCTGCCAGCCCTCAGAAATGATGCTGATTCAATTTTAAATTCAAGTGATACCAGGTTGACACAAAGAAAGCAAATATAGACATATAAACCGGTTAATAATACTGAAAAGAAGCAGTATTTTGTATATTTTGGATTGCTTGGGATCCTGAATAGATTATTAGTTTAAAATATTGTTATCAGGTTGGATAGACCCTGCTGGGGACAACGTGGGCCTGCTGACACATGGGAGGGTCTTCCTCAAACATTCCTGAACTGAGGAGTCCTACCTTGGGTTTAAACTTGGAGGCTCCTGAGGACAGAGGGGGGAGCAGGGCTGCTCTCAGCTGGGCCATCAGTCAGCTCAAAAACCAACAGGATGCCCTGGAATGAACAGGAGGGTCCTGAGGGTCTGTGAGACCCCGCAGCAGATACAGGAGCAGGAGCAGGATGGAGCTGTGCTCTGTGCCCAACCTGAGAATTCCTGCTGCTCTCTGCTCCCCCTCACGTGCTGCCTAATTTAGGATGATGATATTTAGAGATTACTGATTAAGCATAAATAAAGAACATCAAGTCCCTCAGTTCTCAAAGATTTCTTGATTTCAGTAGAGTTGTGGTAACTTATACGCCTCCAAATCCAGCTGGGAAGGAGAGCAGAAGTGTTTGGCTGGTGGTTCTCCTTCTCCTTATTTTTATCCATTTGAAACATTCAGACCGAGTGGATGTTTGTTAACGCTTGACAGAATTAAAAGGTTTTTATTTTTAAATATTTTAAAGAAATAACCCCTTTTTCCAGGCTCTGTTGAACATTTCCCAGATTAGATGGAAATATTCCTCCTTCAGCATCTACAGATATGAGTGAATAATTGTCACAACCCATGTCTACATGTTGGAAAAGAATTGTATTATCTAATTACATATTTATCTGATAAATATGATTAACAGAGAAGACAGATCACCTCTCTCAACATGTGTTCATTTATTTATATGCAGACAGTATTTTATATGTTTATATAAGTATGTGTGCTGTAATGTGCCTGTTTGGGATATTAATAATATTATGATTTTACAAGCTTAACTTGCATAAAATCATAGACCCTCCTGCAAAGCCAATTCATTACTTGCTAGAAAAGAACAGGAAAATATAAATAGTCTTTCAAGGGAATAATTTTCTAAGAGTCAGAATCTGCAAAGCTTATTTCCGATATCAGGAGTGTAATGAAAATATTCACAAAGGTAAGAAATTCCTGTTCAGGGTTAGAATCTTTGTTGCTTTTTTTGGACCAGTGAGAGATTCATGTCTTCATTATAATGATCTACAATATATTTGAGGGACTGCTTAGAGTTAAATTAACCTGTAATTGTGTTTTTAGTCCCAATTTCATCACGATGTCCCAGGAAACAGTGCAAAACAAATAAAAGACTTGTAGAGAAGTTCAGCCTGGTGCATTCCTGGCAGCTGGGCTGGGTGGGGTCAGCCCAGCGTTAGTGCCTGGCAGGTGAGGCTGTTCCAGCCCATCCCTGGGCTCAGCTGCTGGAGGCAGATCCATCAGGCTCCAGGAACCCCTGCTGAGTCCTGCCCTGCCCTCCCTCCTCCTCTAACCTGGAAATGTCCTGAGAACTCCTGTCTCCAAAGCTCCCAGACCTGCTCAGGCTCTCAGGCCAAGGTTCTTCTGCACCAGGTATGTTCCACCTCTTGTTTTGTGTCAGAACTCAGACCAACAGAACCAACTCTGTTCCACGAGCAGCTCCATCATTTTTTTGTGTGACACTGTATTGATGAATATTTCCCCTTTAGTTAATTTGCAGAAAGGAAAATCCAACTGACCTTCCCTCAGCCTCCCAACGATTTAACAACTGTGGGTCACCACAGAGTTACCATCAGTTTATATTTGCTTTTCCTGTCTTTCTCTGTGCCCGTGACACACCGGGAGGCTCCTCGTGCCCACCCAATAACATCTTTCCAGCTCCTTCTCCCCTAAAGAAAAGTTTTTATTTATGGCTGTGCCTCCCTCCCTCTCCCATCTGCCCTTTAGCCCATGTCAATCCATTTTATGTTACATTTATGTCCATTCCACTTCCTTTCTTCCCTCAGACCCCAATCTCTGTGCAAAGACCTTGATCTGTGATGTGGAACTCTGTCAAACGCTGTCTGGGAGCCTGAGCACGGCTGCCCCCCACGTCCTCCTCCAGCAGCACAGACATGGCTGGCTGGGGAAACGCTGGGGCTTTGCTTTTCCAAAAGTTTCCAGGAAAACTGGGCTCGTGAGCCTCCTTCACCCCCCTCCAAACACACACATTCCCCGTGGGTTGGTTCCTGCTCATGCAAATCACCCATGGCTTGATGCAGTTGGTTCTGCACTGGGAATATGACATTTACTAACAAAATAGCTCAGCTAAAATTGATTTTCGGAAGGAACACTTTGGTCCCTGTATTTGAGCAAGTAGGGAAGAGATGGTTGTGATCTTGCCTTAAATATGCAACAGAATGAGGACAGCAAAGACTTGTTGTGCCAGTTCACAAGGTGTTTTCAAATGTGTTAGTGGGCATCCAAATCTGGTAAAAATGTTGATTTTAGCACTGCCACACTGTGTAACTATTTAATTTCATAATTGCTTTACTCTTCTTCCTCCTTCTCTCTACTTTCACAAGGAAACACAAAGATCTGAATTTTAGACAGAATGGAGCTGTGGAATGGGGGTCTTTGAGTCAGGAACAGGTGCAGGGGGATTTGCTTCATGATTTCCAGTGCTGTTAAATACACACCAAGTGTTATTTTCTTGAAGTGTATTCATAGGGAAAAGCAAAATTGAGGGCAGGGAAAGTTGTGGGTTTGTTGTATATATTTTTTAAATATCAGATTTAATTTGTTTGGGAAGTAAATGTTATCACATTTGTGTAGAGAAGCACTTGATGTGTGTGGCACGCTGTCAGTTTTGTCACTGCCAAAGGCTTGGGAAACCTCTTAATCTTCAGGTGCATCAGTATTTATAAAATAGGTGATGTTTATCAGTCGTGGGGAGGGAGGGGTTTTGCAGCCTTTGCATGGGAGATGTCTTGGAAATACCAAGAATTTTGGTGCTAAAATTTCCCGCTTTCTGACTCATCTGTGATTTGAAACAAACCACCCCAAAACTTCTCCTAAACAATAAGCAAAACAGTATCACCAAAAAAATGCAGTAAACAACCCCCTTTTAGCTGCCCCACTTCATCACACCCTGCTGCTTCCCACGTGCCCCGCCAGACAAAGGGAAACGTGGAGAGACGGCTCTTCCCAGAGCTGGGCAGGGAGGACCGAGAGCCAGCTGGGAGTGAGCCCATGTGGGGCATTCCCTGTGACTCACCGGCCAATCCTTCCCCCCATTCCCACCTCGTTCCTCCTCCACACCTCCCTGGGCTCGCTCCCCCCCCAGAGATTCATTCTGCCCACGAAAATATGTCTCATGTTGGCAGTGGAATGTCCCCTCTGACCCCGGGACCACAAGGGCTGTTTTCTCTCCTGCCCCCCTGGCTGCTCAAAGCTGCTCTGTGCCCGTGGCCACCACGGGTTCCCCTCCCACCTCCTCCCTCTGTGAGAGCCGGGAAATGCAGATGGAAAACTCCTCTGCTTTCCAAACCCTCTCCAAACTCTGATCTGCACGCTATGGACACGGGCTGGGAGAGCTGGGGGGGTTCACCTGGAGAAGAGAAGGATCCAAGGAGACCTGAGAGCCCCTTGCAGGACCTAAAGGGGCTCCAGGAGAGCTGGAGAGGGACTGGGGACAAGGCATGGAGGGACAGGACACAGGGAATGGCTTCCCACTGCCAGAGGGCAGGGAGAGATGGGATATTGGGAAGGAATTGCTGGCTGGGAGGGTGGGGAGGCCCTGGCCCAGGTTGGGCAGAGAAGCTGTGGCTGCCCCACTGGTTCCACTTTATCATTTCCATGGATACACTTTAATTGTAACTCCAGTGCTGTGTCACCCCTAATAAGTTAGTGAATAGTTGGCTGGTATTCAGCAGATTAAGAATTCTTGTACTTCCTTGAAGCCGTTGCTGCCACTGCTGATCTGTGTAGCCCAAAAAAAAATGTTCCCATTTTAAACACACCTGCAGCACCTCCTCATTTAAAGACACCTGGTTTTCTGTTTAGCTTATAAACGTACAGAGAGAGAGAGAGAGACAGACTCTGGCTATAATAAGTCAAAGTTAGCTGAATATTGGAAAACTTTAAATCAGAACCAATGATTAAGAATCATTCTTAACTTGTGGGCAGAGTGCATTAAAAATATAATTTCAAAAAGCAGCAACAGGTGAAAAAAAAATCATTTCTATGCAATGTTTTCCTGTGCTCAGTTTGGGTTTAATTCAAGTAGAGCCTCAGCCTGTTTCTTCCCCCTGTTCTCCTGTTTTATTAGAGAAGATGCTCGTCTGTATCAGCCACTTATTAGATAAATACAGGAAAACTGCTTGTCATTTATGGGTTTCCCCATTATCATCTCCCCCACTGCATAGAGTAGCCTGGTTTCAAAGTGACAGCTGGTGGAACCTCTTCTTGATACATGCTAATCCAGTTTTTATTATGGAAAAATTGCCTGTGCTCTCAGAGAGTGAGAGGCAGTTACCAGACGTGGCTGCTGAGGGCGGACCCTCGTGATCTCTGCTCTAACAGCCTAAAAATGAACCATTATCTCCCGGGGTAACAGGATCCTGGGGAAATACAGACATGCCATCATTTATGGCACGGGCATCTCAAAATGTACAGTCACTCTGACTGTCCTTCTAATGTGGTAAATAAAACCCAGCCAGTTCCCCAGCGACGCTGCTTCAGGCGGGGGGTGATTTTGGGGGATGACAGAGGGGCACCTCTGGCTGCACCTGGAGATCCTGGGGCACTGGGAAGGTGCCCCCCAGCCCTGTGCCCTGGTGGGAGGGAGCACTGGAGAACTGTGACCCTTGAGGGGCCATGGCTGGAGCCTGGGGGTCCTGCAGGTCCTCACTCATTAGCCTTGATTGAGTCTGGGGGGATTAAGGCAGAGCCTGGAGGTGGACAGGGTTGAGATGGACCAGGTAAAATTCCCAGTGAAGTCAGTACAAACCTCAGAACCTG